AAAAAAAAAAAAAAAAAAAAGTGACAGGATAACTGTCCAAAAGCCACCTATTCTGGGAAAATAATTCCTTTTTCTAAATTGATCAGAAAAAAATACATTAACTTTTTCCTAGTCACGTAGGACTACCTAAAAGAGAATTCCCTTTGGCTCTGTAAAAGATACCACAAGAACAGATAAGAAAGTCCTTGTTACATAAGGACGTTATACAAGCTACTGATAAGACACATGGAATAAAAATAGCAATATACAACCTAGTAACAGATACTGTTACACACACTCTCTATTTTGCTTCCAATCTTTGAACTGGAAAAAGTGGAAACAACAACACACAGACACACTTGATGCCTGAGGCTGGTAGGTTTTATCAAAATGATGCTTCGAGGGCAGGCCTCGTCTTACATGTTTATGCCTAGCACTCTGCAACACAGAGAAATACAATGAGACTTCACTCATTATGTCAGGGAATGCATTCATTTAAAAAACACTTTACTATCTGTACATTACAGTGGCATATGAGGAGAGTGGTGAACAACCCCATGGCTGCACCTGGAACTTTTATTAAACTTACCGCAATGCTTCTGCATAAAAAAGATACTCTTTTAACTGATCTGCATAATGTTCTTCATCTTCCAAAATATCATCAATAGACGATGCATACCTGTTTAAAAAAAAAAAAAACATGGCAAAAATAGAGTTATTTTCATTGGAACGCAAAGTATTAGGGTTCTAAAGAAGTGCAATTAGGCTGGGCACAGTGGCTCACAACTGTAATCCCAGCACTTTGGGAGGCCAAGATGGGCACATCACTTGAGGTCAGGAGTTCAAGACCAGCCTGGCCAATGTGGTGAAACCCTGTCTCTACTAAAAATACAAAAATTAGCCAGAAATGGGGGCAGGCACCTGTAATCCCAGCTACTTGGGAGGCTGAGGCAGGAGAATCTCTTGAACCCGGGAGGAGGAGGTTGCAGTGAGCCAAGATCATACCACTGCACTCCAACCTGGGCAACACAGCAAGACTCCATTTCAAAAACAAACAAGACAAACAAACAAACAAAAAACAGCAATTCTAGGTGTGGCCCACAGACAATTTGCTACCCATCAGTGATGTTGTAAGTACAGACAGTGAGAATTAGCATTCAGAATCACTGGTAGCAATGTGTAATTACCATGATGATTTTATTGAATTTTACCAAAATGTTTTGGTCAGCAATGACTTAGAAATAAAAACCAAACAAAAAATGGTCCTTTTCATAGGCAGCTTAAGAAGCTTGTAAGACTGTAATATCTTTTGTTCAAAGACATAAATAAAAGGGCTACAAAATCTGCAGAAAGAATAAGAGTTGGTATAATTGGTATACTGGTATAGCTATGTTCTTGGTTGCAACTATTTATTTATAATGATGCCAAGAAGCTACAAAGAAAAAGTAGAGTAAATAAAGATTACAGAAAATTTTAGAAGCTCATTTTATACTAATTCTTAATAGCAACCTCTGCTTTGATTGGGAGACTCCCTCAATGTCATACCAGTTTCATTCCCGCACGAGTCTTCATTTGTACAGAATATGATGGCTCCCACATTGCTTCTCCAAACCACACAAGCACATGTCTCAACACCTCTAGGAAATTTTCCCAGATTGCTTTAGTCATCATTCTACTTCCGTTCCCTTATCAACAATGTGGAACTTAAATTTTACCAAAGTCATATCTCATGTGTTGGTTTTTTAAAAAGTTATTCGTTTATTTGAATTATCTATTTGTTGAACATCTACAATGTGCCAATTGATAGGTTGAGTGTGACAAATCTAGTGACAAAAGAAAACTCGGTACTAAAGCCAGGGTAGACGGAAAAGCTGTAGTCGGAGACTGTGCACTAAAGTCCAGGAGTTTAAGACCAGCCTGGGCAACATGGCAAGACCCTGTCTCTACAAAAAATACAAAAATTAGCCGGATGTGGTAGTGCATGCCTGTAGTCCCAGGTACTTGGGAGGCTAATATGGGAGGTCTGCCTGAGCCTAGGAGGTCCGAGGCTGCAGTGAGCTGTGAATGTGCCATAGTACTCAAGCTGGGGTGACAGAGTGAGAATCTGTCTCAAAACAAAACAAACAAACAAACAAAAAGAGAATAAATCATAGCTGATACAAGGTATTGTAATTTAATATAAAATTGTATGAAATACATAGCAAGTTGCAGTTTATCAGATACATTTAATTACAAACACCATTCCACTGTTCCTTTTAGATTGACATTAGATAAGGAATTACCAGATCTAGATAATGCAGGACAAGTGAGCCCCAAAATTGGAGGTTAGCCCAGGAGGGTTATTGGCTTTGCCCAGGAAAGAATTCAAGGGTGAGCCGGTGGTGTCAGGTGGAAACCTTTTATTGAAGAGCACTGCTCCTTGAGGAGCAGGACTAACTCACAGGCAGTGCACCTCGAGTCCGCCTCGTGTGTTGATTTTATTTATCCGATAGCACTGTAAAATTCCATAAGGACAGGGGCTATGTGTATGTACGACTTCTGTGTGATACAACAGGTATCTTTCTTTCAAATTAATTCTGGTTCCTTCACACGGACATACTTTACATCTCTAGGCCTGCCTCATCAAGTTTATTGAAGTTGTAAGACAAAATAAACAAAACCATGCTAAGGTTCATTTGAAAAGCAATGTGCTTATAGGATTTATAAAAACAGTGAACATATATATTCTGTAATTACAAACTTACAGCTATGAGAGTGAAGAATTTCTTACATGTGACTGAAAAAAAGTCTTGAGAATCACTGTTAAGAGTAGGAAAACCTGCCTTTAGTTCCTAAGTCTATGATTCTGGAAGAGTTAATGTGAAGAAAACAAAGAGGAGCACAGGGCTGGTGGCCTGAAGATAGGAAACACAGCGTAGGCAGAAACTGGAATATCCTAGGGTGGGGAAGTATAAATGATAAAGATTTTTAGATCTCAGTACTGAGAATTTTATTTAACACTTTAATAAATCAACTGAAGGCATAATCCTAAATTCTGGCAAACACTGAAATGCCAAATCAAGAGACCGCAGGAAGACTTAAGGTTAAACAAAATAGTTGAAAAAAATAGCTAGTTGGTCTGGAACACAGCCTAAAAGAAAGTAATATTTACATAAACACATTTTTTCTTTTTTCTCTCCCAGCTTTAAGGTATAATTTAAAACTTGTATGTATTTACAGTGTACAATATGATGTTTTGACATATGTATACATTATGAAATGATTAAATCAAGCTAATTAACATATCCATCACCTGACATACTTAGCATTATTTTTTTGGTGAGAATATTTACGATCTATTTTTTGTCTTTTTGAGTCACAGGAGTTCTTTCTATACTATGGTTAGAAATGTTTGCTTCTGTACTTGCTTCTTCACTGTCTTAATAGTGTCACTTTTTAAAAAATAGTAAAGGCCAGGAGGGGTGGCTCATGCTTGTAATCCCAGCACTTTGAGAGGCTAAGGCAGGTGGATTACTTGAGCCGGAGGTCAAAACCAGCCTGGCCAATGTGGTGAAACCCTGTCTCTACTAAAAATACAAAAATTAGCCAGAAATGGGGGCAGGCACCTGTAATCCCAGCTACTTGGGAGGCTGAGGCAGGAGAATCTCTTGAACCCGGGAGGAGGAGGTTGCAGTGAGCCAAGATCATACCACTGCACTCCAACCTGGGCAACACAGCAAGACTCCATTTCAAAAACAAACAGACAAACAAACAAACAAAAAACAGCAATTCTAGGTGTGGCCCACAGACAATTTGCTACCCATCAGTGATGTTGTAAGTACAGACAGTGAGAATTAGCATTCAGAATCACTGGTAGCAATGTGTAATTACCATGATGATTTTATTGAATTTTACCAAAATGTTTTGGTCAGCAATGACTTAGAAATAAAAACCAAACAAAAAATGGTCCTTTTCATAGGCAGCTTAAGAAGCTTGTAAGACTGTAATATCTTTTGTTCAAAGACATAAATAAAAGGGCTACAAAATCTGCAGAAAGAATAAGAGTTGGTATAATTGGTATACTGGTATAGCTATGTTCTTGGTTGCAACTATTTATTTATAATGATGCCAAGAAGCTACAAAGAAAAAGTAGAGTAAATAAAGATTACAGAAAATTTTAGAAGCTCATTTTATACTAATTCTTAATAGCAACCTCTGCTTTGATTGGGAGACTCCCTCAATGTCATACCAGTTTCATTCCCGCACGAGTCTTCATTTGTACAGAATATGATGGCTCCCACATTGCTTCTCCAAACCACACAAGCACATGTCTCAACACCTCTAGGAAATTTTCCCAGATTGCTTTAGTCATCATTCTACTTCCGTTCCCTTATCAACAATGTGGAACTTAAATTTTACCAAAGTCATATCTCATGTGTTGGTTTTTTAAAAAGTTATTCGTTTATTTGAATTATCTATTTGTTGAACATCTACAATGTGCCAATTGATAGGTTGAGTGTGACAAATCTAGTGACAAAAGAAAACTCGGTACTAAAGCCAGGGTAGACGGAAAAGCTGTAGTCGGAGACTGTGCACTAAAGTCCAGGAGTTTAAGACCAGCCTGGGCAACATGGCAAGACCCTGTCTCTACAAAAAATACAAAAATTAGCCGGATGTGGTAGTGCATGCCTGTAGTCCCAGGTACTTGGGAGGCTAATATGGGAGGTCTGCCTGAGCCTAGGAGGTCCGAGGCTGCAGTGAGCTGTGAATGTGCCATAGTACTCAAGCTGGGGTGACAGAGTGAGAATCTGTCTCAAAACAAAACAAACAAACAAACAAAAAGAGAATAAATCATAGCTGATACAAGGTATTGTAATTTAATATAAAATTGTATGAAATACATAGCAAGTTGCAGTTTATCAGATACATTTAATTACAAACACCATTCCACTGTTCCTTTTAGATTGACATTAGATAAGGAATTACCAGATCTAGATAATGCAGGACAAGTGAGCCCCAAAATTGGAGGTTAGCCCAGGAGGGTTATTGGCTTTGCCCAGGAAAGAATTCAAGGGTGAGCCGGTGGTGTCAGGTGGAAACCTTTTATTGAAGAGCACTGCTCCTTGAGGAGCAGGACTAACTCACAGGCAGTGCACCTCGAGTCCGCCTCGTGTGTTGATTTTATTTATCCGATAGCACTGTAAAATTCCATAAGGACAGGGGCTATGTGTATGTACGACTTCTGTGTGATACAACAGGTATCTTTCTTTCAAATTAATTCTGGTTCCTTCACACGGACATACTTTACATCTCTAGGCCTGCCTCATCAAGTTTATTGAAGTTGTAAGACAAAATAAACAAAACCATGCTAAGGTTCATTTGAAAAGCAATGTGCTTATAGGATTTATAAAAACAGTGAACATATATATTCTGTAATTACAAACTTACAGCTATGAGAGTGAAGAATTTCTTACATGTGACTGAAAAAAAGTCTTGAGAATCACTGTTAAGAGTAGGAAAACCTGCCTTTAGTTCCTAAGTCTATGATTCTGGAAGAGTTAATGTGAAGAAAACAAAGAGGAGCACAGGGCTGGTGGCCTGAAGATAGGAAACACAGCGTAGGCAGAAACTGGAATATCCTAGGGTGGGGAAGTATAAATGATAAAGATTTTTAGATCTCAGTACTGAGAATTTTATTTA